CGAATGATGATGAGATCTTCAGGTCATTCCAGCATTCAGCGATCAAAGGAAGCTTGCTTAGCACGATTGTTGTTGTCTTGTCCTTATGCATACAAAGGACAAAACCCATACCCTTATGAAAGTTGGTACGATACGGAGCCGACTAATCGACTCTATTGTCCACCAACTTTAGGTAAGGATGTCTGCTTATGAATAATGCTTTTTGTACTATTCACTATAGTAAAGGACAAGTCTTCCTCTTAAGGCTTAACACGCACTCTAACCCTACCATATTGCATTAAATGTTCATTTAATGCACTGAGTATAAATAGAAGTGTTTCTTCTCAATGCAGAGTGCGCACAACTCACTCTCTAACCCTAATTCTTACTTCAAACATTTTCTAGCTTAAGTAAATGATCTTCTTTACAACAATATCTTTTCTTGTATTTGCTAAGACTTTGTGTGTAACTAAAGATTGTTTAGATAGGTTTTTACTACCTTATCTTTCCGCAAACAATCTTGTAAAATCTGTATTGATCTTCTCTATCAATATATAGTTTAAATTTGAAAATATTGTGTTTGTATTATTCCCCCCCTTCTATAAACTATTTATTTTCTTGTAGACCCTCACGGGACCAACAAGTGGTATCAGAGCAGTGTTTTATTTCTTTCCTTGTGTTTAGCTATTTTTCGTATTAGTTTATCTTCTTTCTTAGATAACTTTACCGCTTACAAATGGCTTTACAAATTGCAAACACACACACAAAAGATAATGGCTCTCTTGCCAAACCTCCCCGGTTTGTCCGTGACAACTTTAGTCTCTGGAAGAACCGGATGTCCCTCTTTCTGGAAGGTGTGGATCCTGAAATTCCACATTACATAGAAAATGGACCATAGATTCCATTTGCTATTGTTCCGGTTGTTCCAGCAACAGCTATGACTGCCGTGATTCCTGAACAGCAGATTCCAAAGCTTCCACATCAGTGGAGCGATGAGGATAAGAAGAAACTCAAAACTTCTAAATAGCTATGTCTCTTCCTGATGAGATTTATCACTCAATGATGAAACTCAACACTTCTAAATCCATGTGGGATACACTCTGTGTCCAATATGAAGGAACCACTCAGGTTCAGGAGACTAGAAAGATCAATCTAGTAAGACAGTATGAAAGCTTTCTCTGTGGAAAGTCTGAGACGTTGTCTGAAATACATCAAAGATTTAACTTCCTTCTTATTGATCTTAGGGCTGTCGGTAGGGAATAATCTAATTCTGAAACTTTGACTAAGTTTCTAGAATGCTTTCCTAAGTCTTGGGACACCTTTTCTATGTGTCTCAAGATGTCAAATGACATGTCC